TATTAAATAATTATGTGTACACTGTATCTATAAGTACACTGTTTACTGATCACTTTATGGTAACAGTTTTATCAACTACCTTACAAAGTTCAGTACAGAATCACACAGGATTCATGAAAATATATTATGTTATCTATAACTAGTACACTGTGAGACGTTCACTTTATGGCAACAGGGAGAGGTCAACTGTGGTTGATCACATAAGGTAAAGTAGACAATTATGCATGTTGAACCAGTAAATAATTGTAGTAATACATGTAGAAGTTATGATTTATCACAATAATAATTATTATGATAATTATTATGATTTAATACTGGTAATACAAGTTATCATGTTAGTAAAAGTGTGCATATGTTTATCATTGTATATTTAGGTGATAATGCACAAAGTACATTGAAGCAAATCAGGATCATAAACAACTGTAGCTAGACAATGGTATCCAGTGGCATCATACATGTATCAGTTTAAGTGTTTGCATTGGAGGGGGGGGGGGAGGTTCTGTTGAAGTCATTTTGGGAGGGAAGGGGACAGAGTAAGTAATGCTACAAAACTGTGATGAACTTTTGCTATTTGAAAACAAATCAAGCTGGTTTCTAGACCATGTGAAGCCATTTCTTTTGGGAAGGGGAGATACTATTTTTGCAATAATACTATATCAGTTGGGGCTATAAGACTGTGATGCGCTCTTACTCGTGAAAACCAAATCTGGCTACATGTACTGTAGGTGTTACACTGTTGGTGTCACTAATAGTGTACCAATTTTATTCTCGTTTTTTTTCCCTTTCATTCTTAGAGATGCCAAGTTGTTTAACATTGCTGTTGATGCAGAGAAGAAAAAACAACTTGAATTGGAGCTGCAGGTATTATTTTGTTCTCTTCCTGTGCTTTGGTTCCCTCGAGACATTTTGCCTTTTTATAGAATTGTTCTGTTGTATTGTTACTGTTCTATTTCTTTCAAGAATCACAGATATTAAAATACAGCTGTTGAATAACTTTACAGGACATCAGTCATCAAATACAACAAAAATCAGAAGAGTACAAAAATTTGAGTGAGAGGGAGAGGTCTTTGCAGAAGGAATTAGAAGCAATGAGAACTGAAAAGGTTTGTCGCTATGTACTGTAGACCTGCACATTTGCAATTTGTCTTGGAGCGATGATCTTTTGTTAGCAATAATTTTTGTTCACGTTTAAGAACTTATGGTGCAATTATTAAAGGGAAATTTATCCACAGGTGGCTGCAAATGGTTCACCACACACGGTACCTGGTTTCCCATGATATGTCACAGAATACAGTTCTGTATTCAATTAAACTTGTGGAATACAACTTAGCTCGTCCACTCATAACCCACTTGAACTCAACAGATCTTTGTTTAATTTGCTTCCAGTTTGTCTGTGTTCTCTAAAAAAACCTTATTGCATAATCACTCACATCTCTGATTACCATATTTACAAATCTCATCATCTTAAGCTGTCAACTATGAAAATTGCAGCAAGTTATGGGCTAGATTAGAAAGTCATAAATTGTCAACAATGAATGAATTATTTTTTTCAACTTATGAGTTTTTCACTTGAGGCACTATTCTGAGCTCTTAAAATGGTTGATATAAGAATTTGAATTAAGAACTGGTTTCTTGTCAGTA